GAGTTTTCTCCATGAGGGCGCTAAAGCACTTTTACGCATAACGTTTGACACTCATAACTTGCACAGTAGAGATTTTTCGCCCTGTGACTCTGGGGTTTGTAGCAGCTACAAGCAAATCCACGCATGAGCAGACATCTGATTAAGTGCTATTTCTGTTTTACAGATACATCCACTCCAAGGAAAAGCCATTCAAATGTCAAGAATGTGGGAAGGGATTCTGTCAGTCTCGGACTCTAGCCGTCCATAAAACCTTACATATGCAGGTAAGCTGAAAATATTAACAGTCACCATGATTTTATCCTCACTGAACTGTGTGACACGTTATGGTCATTATTCACCTGTTGTGCACGTTCTGCTGCATGCATGGGGATATTAATAAGTCTAACAAAACGATTGCGTTTGGCCAATTACCAAATTAAAACAAAAACATGTGAGTGAAGGATACACACAAAAGTCGTAAAAGAATTATTGTATAAATCAGTGTGAGTTTTAACTGACACAATACAGGAGTTATTTAGATGACTGAAAGATACAACTGATAGACGTTCTATACAATTAAAGGGAATAATCCTTTGCTTGCTTTAAATCTAAACAGGAGTCTCCCCACAAATGCCCCACATGCGGAAGAACCTTTAATCAAAGAAGTAACCTGAAAACTCACCTTCTCACCCATACAGACATCAAGCCCTACAGCTGTGGCCGCTGCGGAAAGGTGTTTCGGCGCAACTGTGACTTGCGACGGCACAGTTTGACGCACAGCCCACATCAGGACTACTAGCCTGGACAGACAAACAAAATAACAATGGACAAAAACGCAAGAAGACATTTTTTTTTTTTTTTTTTTTGCTTTTTTTTGTTCAAAGACAATCTCCAAATCAGGACACGTTTACTGCAGCACATCTAGAGTGGGATTTGGTTGAACCTCAAGTGGGACAGCAGCGGAGCCATGACCGTGTCCAGCTTTCACACCACCTGTAAATATCAAAGAACATGTACATAATGGTGTTTTTTTATTTTTTCTTCTGACCTTGAACTCATAAAGTTGTCAAAAAATAGTCATAAGTTTAAAGTATGTTAAATTGTATTTTAGAAATAAATATTTCCATTATACATTTGCATTTGCTCTGTCTTTTTATTTCATGATTCCCATGCCTTGAAACATGAGTCACAATGTTAAACCCAAAAGCAATATTTAGTTGAAACCATTTACCATGGTCATCAAATTAATAGTCTATATGTTTACAGCCAGCAGCCAGTGAGAGCTTAGTGTGGCTGACTTGTTGGGCTTTTTATAGTAGACCAGCAGATATCAGTTAGCAGCCAGAGAGCATGAAATGTCTTTGAGGACGGGTCTTGCGGAAAGTCATTAAAATGCAAAATATAATGTCTTTTTTTATACTAATAATTGATTATGTACAGTAAACGATCTTAAAGGTTTTTTTTTCTTTTTTAAATAAAAATAATAATCACATAATGATGTGTGCAGGATTGTCTACCATCTACCTATTAGCACTTTTCTCTCAGAATTATTGAGCCCAGTTTCTATCCTCAGTATCTGGATCCTGCAGAGGCTGATTAGTATTATTAGCCGCATTAGCAGCCATATCACATGTCTTTATCTGCATCGCCTCTGATATCATTATTGACCTGGAAGCGGTAGAAGGAAGTCACTTGCGCAAAGAAAGCAATTTAACCCGACAAGATGAGACCGATACTGCCTACAGATTAATTCTGGGAAATGATCATTGTTCCTCAATTCATCACTTACACTACAAACAAAAATACAATAAAAATGATTTGTTTTTGGAGACCCTATTTTATTATATCTCAGATTTGCATCCACCTGTTATGAATGAGTATTTTTTTTAATTTAGACTATAACAACATTAACATCGGATTTACAAATCGATTTAACATTTGGGGTTAAGATGTAGTTTGAAATGATTCACTTACACTATATAATTATTGTGAAGTATATTTCAAGAAGCAGGTTCACTGGGAAAGGCTGAGCACTTTGGAGGTCATGCTTAAACACACAGGTTTAGTATTCAGTATTTATTTGTGTAAATACATATATAAATTCCAAAATTTGAATTTCATCCAGCTAACCTTTGATCGACCACTGAAGGGATCAAATTGCGCTTGAATATTAACCATGAGAGCAACGGTCTGTGACACAATGAGTTGATCTATAATCATTTTTTTTCATTATTAGGTGAATAAAAAGTAAGACTCTCTCCCTCTGTCTCTCTCCTTATCTGTCTGTCTCTCTCCGTTACTTGGCCTTCAAGCCTGTTCTCAGGATTTCACCAGCCGTTATTGGCGGCTGAACACTCGTTTAAAAGCTTGATTTTCACCTGACAGTGCAATTAATTGCTTGAAAAAATAGCATTTATATTTAATGGGCTCGAAAATAGGGCCTGGAACAAGTGGCTACAATAACAACAGAAGATTTAAAACGGCGCTCATTGCTGCTGAAAGGCCATTAACTAAGGCCCAGTTTATTACGCACTGCAGTTTTCCTAATTATTTTCTAAATGGAAAGTCAACGTCTGCAACTAGCTCAAATTTACAAAAAAAGCAATTGAGCTTTTTAATCATACAAAAAAAATCATGCCTAATCACCAAAACTGAAAACCTGCAAACACTGCAAATATGAAAAGATGGATTACGTACACGCAATAATAATAATAATGATTAAAAAAAAATCTAGTAATAATAACGACGACACAAACTTTTTATTTAACATTTTTATTTTATTTGGAGTACATTGTTTGAGAAGGTTACCCCTAAAAGTTGAATTTAAATCTGCATTATCTAGTAATGAGCTAATTCGATTACAGTTACACAAATTCTGATCAACTTAAATGAACAAAACAATTCTAAAGGCTGAATATGACCTCATAGGTTAATGCTGAAGGTGACAGAAAAGTATATAACTGATGTACAGGTGAATAATATAGGAATGATAGAAGTATATGATTTTAAAAAATTAAATAACCTTTTAACAATTTTAGAGTGCATTTTAGTGTTTTCAGAATTAGCTTTTATTTTAATTTGTTGCGACCTTGACCAATGGGAAACCGGCAATGGATCAACAAGATTTTTCAGCTCAAATGTATCAGTTATCAGATGGAACTACTGTCCTGGAGGGTAGAACACACATATTTGATCTGTTCACAAGTGTCACATTATCTACAAACTCATTTTTTAATGAATCACTGACTTTGAAGACGCACTCAAATGTACTGCGTTAGTTTCTGCACCACCAGAATGCCAGGTTGGACCTAATGATCCGACCAGACTGTGTATAGACTGAATTAAATGAATTAAGCTCAGCCCTGTAGCGTTAGCAGAACTAATAAGACATCAAGTACTTTCTTTAGAGTGCATCTCGTCCCGAACTGACAGTATAATAATGACAGTGATGGTGAGCGCTCGCACAGTTGGCAGAGAGTGGACAGTCACATGGTGAACTTCATCGGTGACCGCCCGTCCTGCGTGGACTGTGTACTCAGGAAGCTTTATCTAGCTGACAGGGGCGAGGCGGCACTGACTGCAGGCCACTGAGCTCCACTGCTCTGATATGAGCTCCATATGACCCTCAACGGCCAGTGATACACATGCACTTCTTTAATTTCAGTCACACTGTCTCTGTTGCCATAATCAGAACAATCTCTATGAAAACCTCCAAAAGTCTGTTTGAATCCACGCTGTCATGACAGAAACTCCAAATCATATAGGGTGTGTTAGTGTGCAATCATTTGGATTTATTTAGTTTTGTAGGTTATGACTTATTTGTGTGCTCTGGTTGGTCATTTCGATATTACAGCTATTAAAAAACGTCTCAATGGCAGCAGCTGATAACCGACAGCAAAAGTGTTTTTGACATATAAAGCCACTGGCCGCAGAACTGACTGGTGTGTCCAAGTCTGATTGTGAAGAATAGATGGGCCCTAGCCCTGTTTTCACCCGTAAATCAGGCAGATATTTGTCTGATAAGCCAGGGCTTATGAATCCAAGGTCACCCATGGTCATGAAGAAACAAAAGAAGGCCTAAGAAGGACAAAAGAATTTTTATTTGTTTTACTTGTCCGTGGTGTTTGCCACCAATTTTTTTTTATTTACAATAGATTATATTCACTATTCATTTCCAATACCACAGGCCTGTCTGTACATTTCAATGAGCCTATTTGCATATGTTGATATCACAATGACACTTCATGTCATATTTAAGATAAGATCAGACATGTGGCATATTTATAAACCAGACATGTCACCTGTGCGACCATAACGCAAAGATCTTTCTGTTACAGCCGTCATTAATCACTTTCACTGACTTTTCTCGGTCTCACTATCTGAAGAGAATCTCTGCCCTTGAAATGAAACCCGTATCGCGATGAGAATGTAGGACGTATCCTATTGTTTTAAAAGAGTTCACTCATTTCAAGAAAAACGTCTCCTACGCACTGACACCATTCAGGAGCTGCCCACCGTGAAGTTTATTCTCTACTCTCTCAGCAAAGGTGAGCCTCTACAGCCATATAAGGGGTAGAGGCGTGCGAAAGAAATTACGTATATAACGTGACATGGTGCCTTCCCGTGCTCGTCGTAAATCCCAAGTTACACTGAGTGGTCGGTGGTGTGACTACAAGCACATTCTAATGAGCAATATTGTTAAAAGTGACCCTGAAACAGCAGGTATGTGCTGCTGTTTTATTTATTTAAAAACTGAACTGACACTACTGCACCTGGTGCTACAGTAAACGACTTATTAAGACGCAACGTGCATCAGGCATTTGCTTGATGTCCTCGTGGATTTCTTTTTAGTGATCCCCTTAGTCGGTCCTCTCAATATCATATATGACCCAGTTATGTATTATAGGAAATTTCGAGTGTCTCTATTTCCAGTAGCTATTTTGTCTGGTATATGTGCACAGAACGCTGAATGGCACATTTCCAACGGGTTTAAACGCAACACCAGGCATACGGAAGCCGCGTTGGTGTTTACTGATGACGTTTGGGCTGAAGCCGTTCAGAGATGTGGCTAACGTCAGTTTACAGGATGAATATGTTTTATTAAACGTCGAATTGGAGAAATAGCTACAGGATATAAGCGGCAGTCAAGTAAGGAGGGGCTTTTCTATTTGTACCCGCGGTCACACGTTTGAGACAGCCGAAACGAAGTTAGGGCGACTTCTTCTCAGCAGTTAGCTTAGCTTCGTTACTCTGCTGCTGTACTGTTTATAGCTAGAATGACAGCAGAGCACAGCTAACGTTAGCCTCTCTGGCTAACTACTCCGACGTAAGTTACATTTCTTACTAACGTTACGTAGGACGGCAGTGCTTCATTTGAAACACCAGGTGATATTTAGTTACCCTGCTGTGTGTTTGGAAATGTTGTTGCTAACTACTGCTGGCGTTTCGCCTTTAGTCGCTTGCATAAAAAGTGAAGACACAACAAGCATGCTAACTCAGGCACTCCTGTCAGTTAAAATGAAGCCATGTAAAATAAGAAACATTGAAATGCATTAAAAAGTTATTTAAACCTTCCCCTGCAACCCACACAGACAGAATTCTCGTTCTGCCCCTGGTGAGTGTAAATATTAGCTCTACATGACCAACTGTAGTTACACCTTCAGTCTGCTTAGGTTTTAGACTTATTTGGTTAGTTTTTAAAAGCACATTTAATATTAATGCCCATTTTGTGATAGGTTAAGTAAGTAAGTGTATTTATATAGCATCTTTCAAGAGCAGATGTCACAAAGAGCTTCACAGTAAAAGATAAATAAGAGCAACATACATGAAGTGCAAACATATGCTAAAAGTAACATACTAAAAACTGAACAAAAAACAGCTTTAAATGTGTTAAGTTCAGTGGGAAAGAGTTCCAAAGTTTAGGAGCTATTAGTCTCCTTCTGTCTTGATCCTGGAACCGGGATCAACCAACAAGCCCCGATCAGATGACCTCAGATACTGGTGATGCAGCTGCCTGACCACCAAAGCCTCCAAATGTGATCGCAACAATCTTGAACTGGATGTTGAATTGGTATTACATGAGATCTTTTGGAGGACTTTTGGATATTATTATTATTATCGGATGCATTCAATTTTCCATTCAATTTAAGTGTCCCAATAAGCCATACCAGTACACCTGAATCGAATGCAGTTAATCTTATTTATTCCACCTGTGCACTTGTGCTACAACATATACAAATAAGCAGAAGAGTTTTTTTAAGTAATGGTGTGGCGATAGGAGATTTAATACATACATACTGTAATGTACAATACGTATAAGAGTTTAATAATATCGCACATGTTTTGTTCAATTTCTGATGTGTGTTCAGGACAGGGACAAGATGTTGGAGTCCTATGTGACACCGCTCCTGATGAGCTATGTGAACAAGTATATCAAGAATCTGAAGCCCTCTGACCTGCAGCTGTCTCTCTGGGGAGGAGATGTTGTGCTCAGCAAGTTGGACTTAAAACTGGATGTGCTGGAACAGGTACTGTGTGTTGAATGTGTCCTCTGCTTTCTTGCAAAACAAGACTTACTGGGATGACAGACACTGTAGCAATGTTCACATTTAATAGGACATAAAGGCTTTGTCGGCAGGAAAGCCATGCAGTTATGATGGATGATGGTTGTGAGCCAGTACTCAGTGCTGCTAGTGGGAAAAGTATTAGTGTTGTATGAGTGTTTTTGTGTCCATACAAAGGTATCTCTGTTAATGTTCAGAGAAGTTGTATCAGCTTTCTAAAACTAAATGTCTTTTTCCTGCATGTTTTTTTTTGCAGATTTTACTTTACTTTTAGTTTTTATCACAAAGGATATGTGTTTGTTATTTTTGCAGTGTTTTTATAGTTAACTGCAGTTTTGTTTATTGCTTTTGTTCATAAACAATTGTCATCCATGCACATTAAAGATACAGTTAAGGTATCGATGGCTAGCATCTAAAATTAGTATTTTAAAATGAGCAAAATTAGCATTTTGGTCTCTCAACAGAGGAAGCAGCTAAGCATGTAAACATGACAGTGCTAACAAGGAACAAAAATGTCTTTACAATAAAGTAAGAGTTATAGTTGTTTCCATATGAATATCATAAAAGTAAAAGGTTTGGAAAGGAACTGAAGAGCGGAGGGTAAGCAAGTGCCCCAAACATATCTTTTCCATTCAGTTGTGTCTACATCTTATTTCAGCTACAGTGTATATAGTCATGGTCTATTGCCTTGACTATAATCCATAAAAAATGCATCAATGCTTTTCAGCCAGGCTCAAACACAGTATCTTTTCTGTCATTTTGGAGGAGTTTGATAGATTTACTTAGATATTTTGCTCTGGAGTGTTATTTTGACACAGTGTTCTTTTTACACTTGTAATGTCTGGATTAGATCAGTCTGCCATGAGTTAAAAGAATTTCCTTTTCTCTTGAGCGGGTTCTGACTGCTTCTGAAGAGCAAACCAAAACACTACCTAACCCAGCAGAGATTGTGATGAAAGTTCTTATTGGAAGCAGCTTTAAGCCAACCGACAGTGGGAATTGTGTTAGGATTTTCATGTGTAATGCTATGTCAAAACCTTGGCAATTATCTTCTCTTTGGACAATACCTTTTTTTTTTAAATGTACAATTAGAGGTTTCTTTCTTCGTATGAAGTAATTTACAGTGGAACATTGTGGGGGTTATCGAGCAGACATACTAGATCCATGACAGCTTTTCCTCAGAAATATGTTTGGTTATTACTTTTTTGGCTTAGACTTATGTAGGAGGCATGTGAAGCCTGTGTGTAGGCATTCTGGTTTCATGGGACTCATTCTCACACAGAGTAGTTCAAGATGCAGAACAATGATCTGTCTGCTTCTGAGAAAATCTGACTGATTTTGTTAAAAGCGTGACCGGTATGTAATCTGTAGCTGTTGCCTTTACTATCCTCTCGTCTGCAAATATTAGTTTAAAATAGCGGCTTAGAAAATGGATGGATGAACGTTCCAAATGTTCTTGACGCCTCAGCAGTCATGTCACCACATGCGTTTACAGTGTTGTCTGCATCGCAGATGTAATGCTGTAATACAGATCATTAACTTTAGTTTTGCAACTATCTGTTGTTTTAATTTTTTATATGTATGTCATGTCATATTTATAGGAGTTGAAGCTGCCCTTTACATTCATGAGTGGTCACATCCATGAGCTGCGTATCCATGTGCCCTGGACCAAGCTGGGCTCGGAGCCTGTAGTCATCACCATCAACACCATGGAGTGTATCCTCAAGCTGAAGGATGGAGCCCAGGTTAGTTATTTACTGGTATGAGAAACATGTTATGCTTGTTTCTACTACAGGGCCAAAACAGGGCTGGCCAGATCTTCTTGTTATTTATGTGAAATTATTCCTCATGCCAAAGCTTTCTTATTCTTATTTTCTCTCTGTGTTTCCAAGAAGTTTCATCATAAACACGCTGAGCTTCTTCACCTTGTGATGGAGCTGATGTGACACATTATGATGCTGACTTGGTGTAAAATCTCATAAAGAGAAATTCCAACTTATCATTTCCTTTTTTAGTTTTTGCTGGATCCTCAAGTGTTAAATGTTCAAAGGAAAGGCAAATTTATACCACTAGGACATTTCATACCCAAGGCAACAGACGTAACAGAGTCCACGAGCAAAAGCACAAATAAAACAAGAAAACAAGAAACAAATGAAAGAAAAAATCACATCATATCTTATTTTCACTGATTTCACTCTAGCTGTTGCTCAGATCAGTTACATTAATCCCTCTGGCCTTTAGATGTTTTATGTCCCCCTGCTTGTGCCACCCGTTAATTCAAGTTGGTTATGGCTCATTTGTCCCAATATGACATGTTGTTTCTGGCCTGGCAATTCTGATTCAAAGGTTTCCCTCTGTAATGAGCCAGCATGATGACAGCCAATTACCCCCCCCACCCCACCCGCCACCCACATGAGCATCAAAGTGAAAATATGAGTCTTGGTTCTACAGAGCCGAGTTTCCACCCAAAGTACCTGGAACTTTTAGTCGCAGGAACAACTTTTCAGGAAACTAAATGGTTCCTTCACTCCGTTGTTGTCTGTGTTTCCACCACGGTCTGAAGATCTGTGAAGATTAGGCAAGTTAGTCCACTGATGTTTGAAAAAGCGATGGCTGTTTTTACACGTAATTCTAGTGCACGACTAAACAACAGTTTGCAGCTGCACATTTTTAAAATTGGCAGCTGAAATAAAATGCTGCAAGTATTCAGAATATCAGAAATTGTTAGTGCTGCAACAGAGCTCAACAGAGCCCAACCATATTAATCCCATTTTGCTAAAGTGTGGTGAGGCACTTCATAGGCACAGCTTATAGTAGCAGTTGCTTTAGTCTTTATTATACATACTTGATTACTCTGATGAGAAACGCATTGAAGAAAAATAGGAAAGCAAACAGAAACCAGAAGCAAATAAATCACTGCCTCATTGAGGCAAAATTATGAATTTGTGCTTTTTTAAAACTGATTTGGACTGTGATCTACATTTTCAAAAGCTTCAGGGGAAAAAAGGCACTTTGGCAAGCGCTACAATGGCAGGCTGCAATTAGGAGCACATTTCAGAATTTGGGGATAAAAGTGTGTTGTCGTCCATACTACAGAATAAATTATTTGCAAATGCTCTTTCAATTTATCAAGAGATGCATCTAACTTGATTTTTTAAACAGATGGATTCCAGCACAAAACATATATTAGCTTATTGTTTTCCACATCTTTTTGTAATTTAAAAATGGTTGGTTCTCCTTTGCCATTACAATTTCCCTTCTGGAAGGCACAGTACTCTCACTCAGCACATTTGTTCCTCAAAAAGAGGGACAGCTTCATTGACCACTGACCAGAAATATTCAGGGAACTCAAAACTGTGAGGTGACTTTGACCAGTGCTATTTACTACTTGGCCATTGCTGTCTTTAGCATGTTATTGGCCTCTGTTTCATTTAGTCTCCAACCAGTTAACAACGCTTCTCATTAATACGATGTAGAATTCTGTTTCACATCTCTGTCAAAAGGCTGCTTAAAGATACCCTGTGGAGTTTTTGACCACAGAGCACTTTTAAGCAACAAGGGTGAGATTTTGTCCCTGTAAATTGTCAGTAAGAAAAATCTCATTGAGCCCTGTCATATATCATCACCACAGACATAAATCTGAGAGCAGTTATCCCAAGAGTAATATTTATATTATTGTATTTAGTTTAGGTATACGTGTTTTCATTTTTGGAGTGTGGTATATGAAAGGCTTTTTTCTTAGATTTGTTTTTGCAGAAGAGCCTGGTTGGTACTACCTTTGCCACCCATGCAGTTTGCAAAATTGAAAGTGTAGCTCCATGCTGGCCCTTTTATGGGAAGGTTGAAGTTTCAAGGCCAGATGTCCCAGAAGAAACACATTTCAAGGGAAGTCAATTACAGCTAATTATATAGACTGCGGCAAAAAGATTTGTAACACATGAGCTTGTGCTGCCCAGAACTAATGGTAAATATCATACTATGCAGGTGGCTACTGCTTATGCGATCAGGTTTCCACTTCGATGGAACTTTAAACTTGTTTTTTATGCTTCAAACACAGCTTAAGGTCATGTACCAGTACCTGTACTGGTGTAATGCATGTAGTCTCAAAACAACTATTTGTTACAGATGTTTTCTAAAAGACTTTCAGTCAAGAAAAGATTTTTGGGGAATTGCAAATGACGTTTGGACAAATTATTCAGTGGTATGTACACCCATGAGACATAATTTGGAGCAAAGCCAGACTTACAGCAGAAGTCCTTCTAGCATGTGGAATTTAAATGAGCCGCTACACTTCTCTTCTATTTGAGTGGGAGGCAGCAGGCTGACTACTGTGTTCTCAGCCAAGAAAATGCAGCCAGTTTACTTAAATGCTGTATAATGGTGTTATCTGGTAACTTCATTTACATTTATTTAATCTTTATCACACATTCAACATTGTTGGAACATCTAAAGCTATATTTGCTATGTCATCTCTGTGGTGGCGGTTTCCCACTTTGGTCAGCTCACAACAAGATTATATTCTCTCTTGAGGTTAGATATCCTGTTCATATACAAGTCAGGCCCTGGTCCAGTTTTAATCAGATTCTAGCAGAGATGCAGGGAGTTTGGCATAGGTGCATGCAAAACTTGGGCCATGACAGTTCTCCCTGAAGCCCTCAAGTAATTTGGGTGATGGCCTACAGGATTTTTAACAGAGCTGAAAAAATTGTGTATGGAAAATGTTACATTTTAAGTTTAGTAGATTACTAGTGTTTCTTTTGTCCAATAGAGACAGGAACTTTGTGGTGGGCCTCATGCGGCCAAAGTGTGGAAATGATAAATGATATCATTAATATGGTTTGTTTTCATAATTACTGTTAAAGCCTGAGTGCTGGCCTGTAAAAACATCCGTACGTCTTTTGAAGTTCATTAAGGGTTGTGTAATTTGACCGGAATTATTTGGACCTTTTTAATGTTCGTGTTTCCCCTCGAGAGGAACTGGGTAATATTAGGGATATGCAGATTGCTCAATAGGGCCCATCTGCAAAGCACCAAGAGCAGCTCACAATTATAGTTTCCAGCAAATGTGGAAATTTGGGCGTTTAGCAGCAGTTGGAGATTACAGCTCCTGCTGACAGTGTAATTGCTTAAAATAAGCTGTAATGAGGACTTGTAGTGCAGAAAGTATGGTAAAATGAAAAAATGTTGTCAACTTGTTTTTGACATTAATTTTACAAACCGGAGGCCATTTACAAACAAAATACATCGGGATTTATATGTGTCTTGCATTATTTGAAGGTTAGACTCTATTCAGTTAAAGTCAAAAAATGTAAATCGTTGATGTATGAGTTGAATTATTAGTGTGGACATCTCCATGTGAAATTAGACTAAGCCCTGGCCTATGCCTAAGAGCTCAATGTATGTAACAGGAGATTGGTCATGGGGATGAAAGGGTTTTGTAGTAGTCAACTTTAACTTCTTTCTTCTTGTGCAAAGGCGCACTCAATGTGGCCCCTCTTAAGTCACTTGATATGAATGTTTGATCTTAGCCCGTTCTAAATTAAAAAGCAATCTGGAAATGTCAAGAGCTGCACATGATATAACAATGGTTTTAAAATCTGTCATTCTATATACAGATCCCCTATGGAAACTGTAGTTATTAATAGAACTCATAAGGTCTCCATCTAGTATCTCATTTGCCTCATGGAGATCTCATAGAAGGGGTTAGCAGCAATCCTTAGTTTTATCAGCTTCACACCAAACTATTCATGCTAGTTTCTCTATATTTGGTGTATTTAAGTTTTTTCATTAGGTTGATTTTGTCATTTTAAGGTTTTCAGCTCAGATGTGGTGGATTAGAGCTGGTCTCTGATGTGATGCTGAGCATTTGGTTTGAGGCATTACTGCCTTCAAGCTTCCCCCTATAATGAGGAGATGGATAAAACCTTTGGTAGGAGATAGAATTTATTGTGCGGCTGTTTTTAGGAGTTTTGTTCTTGTATTTGTAGCTAGTTGTAGCAGTAACAGAAATTGGCAAGATTGAACTGGGGCCTTAATGAAAGACCTAACAGCTAACATTGATGTAATGTTGCAAAATTACGGGAACTTTTTTTTTTTCTTCTTGACATCTTGGTAAACTACTCCAGATGTTGAAGATGAGGTGTGATCAGCAAAGTCGGAGAGGAACTGGCTGGACAGCAGTTATAGTGGATCATAACACTCTCAGGCACTCTTTATTTTTTATGAGACAAAGATAAGGGCTTGGGTTTACCGAGGAGAGCCTTTCTGGTTTTGGCTCCGCTTTCGGCTTGATCTGGGAGTTTTATGGCCGCTGAGTGCATTTGCCACTGATGTGGAGGTTCTGATTGATGCATTGCCTCAAGATGATTTGGGGAGGTGCCTCTGAGACTTGTTGGTTTGGCATATGGTCCAACTAGGCCCTTTCTTCTGTTAGATTCCTTCCAAACTATTTTTAGGGCTTTACACCACCAAACCTCATTGCTCCTAAATAATGGGTAATACATGTGAATTAGGGAACCCCTTTTGGAAGCCTTCTTAAAAACCCCAAGTTGTTATTCCATTACTAAATCTACCACCTACTTGACAAAGGATTGCTACTTTGACTTCAGAAGTTAAACAGAAATCTATAGATGTGACACATGAATATCAAACAATCAGTTACACACAGGTATGAAAACATTGTGACCTCAGATGCACAGTTTATTCCATGTCGTGGAGTTATAGTCTGGATGCTACTGCTTTAACA